TAATACAATGGACCATATTACGCAATATAAAAAAGTACAACTAGCACTTGCCAAAGCAACTTACAACTGAGCAAACAATTTAGGTCACTGTCACTTTCAAAACTATTGCTGAATGTTGGAATTTGCATTGGGCTTAGAACAATGACTCAACTCGTTCAAACCAGACCTGTCCGGAAAAAACAAACCTGGACCACAACCAAAACAACTTCCAGCCACACCCCATTTTCCAATTGAGAAGAAGCTCTGTAGATTATGTCTAACCCCACTCACAAGGCTCGGATTCGGTTCATTTGAGGACACCCCGAATGTCCAAAGTCACACACATCCAAACAATACCTCACCTGTTCATTCTGACAACATACTCCAGCTTCATCATCTAAACAATAGGGTGACAATTTAAACTCTGGGCTCAGTTCAGTGCGGTATACTAGGGAGGAGCAGACCCAAGCCATGGGATTTCCAGGTATATTAACATTTCAGCCTCAACAATAGTGTCGGCTAAATTTGAATGGGTGTTAAAGGGGTATTTGGATTTGACTGAGCAAGTTCAAATGAAATGCCGCTTTTACTGATACCTGGTTGTACTACACAGTTATTCTTTATTACAAAAACGTTGGACATGAAGTATTCTCTCCTCTGAATTCTCATTACCTAACCCCCAGCACCTGCAGTATCATTAATCAGTGCCAGGGCAGTCTCTGCAACTCTGCAAGTGAATTCTGGAGGTCTGAGCTTTCACAATGAGGCATGGTCTGTTTTTTATCCTCTATATGCAACTTAAGGAACTGGCAAGGTTCAGTTGTGATTGTAGTTCCTTTTTTAAAACAGTAAGAGCACAGGCTGCATATCATACCTTTAAATAAACAGGAGCACGGGTGCAGATAGAATGGAATTTGAGAGTATGTGAAAAGGATATGTGCCTGTTTTGATAAGCATCATATGTCCTGGCTGTATTTGCTCCCAGTAGAGTTTGACCTGCACAGACATGACTCCTGCTGGAGATGAGGTGCAGATCAGATGATACAGAATATACAGTGTTGAGTCATGTTTGGATTGTAATCCCCTGTATAAAGAGACTGTGAGCTCCATCATGTGGCAAGGACAGCCAGGGAAAACATACATACTTTCACCTCCTCCACTAGATTTAACAGATTAGTGGCATTAGTTGTGTTTTTATGTGGTTGGCCCAGTGATCTCTTATGTAAACTGCTTATGTAATAAAAGAAAGGACCTAATAAATCTAATAGTCACTAAATGCTGATTCATCATGTCCATTGGTACATTTGAAACTGCAAACATATTATGAAGGCTTTTGAATTTGGAAGTGGACTATAGCTGGGAAAGTTTCTGAACCATAGCTTAATACAGTTATGTAACATTCAGGGCACATAGCTGGAGTCACTGCACAGTCAGGCTCAAGTTCAATATACATCTGTGCTGCAGGAATGTTCCTATAGCCCACATGGACATGAGTTCTGTGGAACATATATACATATCCATGGGCTTCAAGCAAAGCAATATTAGGACAGTCGGCATTATTGCTGTTCTAACTTTTGACCTGACAAAATTCTTCAAAATGGAATCTATAACAGGATTCATTTTCTATGTGCAATGAATGGGAACTGTGCAATGTATGGGAACTGTGTAATAATGGGAACTGTGCAATAATGGGAACTGTGCAATGAATGGGAACTGTGCAATGAATGGGAACTGTGCAATGAATGGGAACTGTGCAATGAATGGAACTATATAATGAGTGGAGTGTGCAATATTTTAGTGTCTGGCCCCTGTAACCCCAGCCCTTGGGACAACGGATGGAAATTAGCCTTAGGCTACAATCTGGTGTGTTTACATTCATGTTGTCATGTTTGTTCATTAACATGCTCTGTCCCAATCAAATAAATAAATAAATAAAATAAATGAAAAAGTAATATGACTTGAATGAATACCAAAAACACACACTCTGAGGATGTGAACAAAACTGACCGCTTTGAGGATGCTGACAGCCTCTTTGCTGAGCCATGAGGCATACACTATCTCCTCGTTCAGGATGGACTCAAACAGGTCATCCTCATTCTCTGCCTCAAAGGGGGCATGGCCTGAGAGCATCTCGTACAGTAACACCCCGAGAGCCCACCAGTCCACCGATGGCCCATACAGCATCTCCTGTAGGATCTAGAGACATAGCAGAATCACAGTGAGCAAGACTTAAGGATCAGCTTCAGCTAAAGTTAAACAAATAGAAACCATCATCAAAATAAGGAAAAGGAAAGAGAATGTATGGAGCATAGACTGTACAAAGAAGTGGACTAAGCGAGTGTGAAGTCACCCACAGTGTTCACTTTCACTCAAGTGAAGCTTGCGATGTTACAGGAGTGAATTTGGAGCCAGGCTCTATATTAACAATAGCATTTTTTTAACAGACAAAATAATGGAAAAAAAACCCACCAGGATCATGTAAAGGGGATTAATATGAACATTTTAAGACCAAAATGATGAGGCTCACAGCAGCAGTTACAAAGAGAGGTGTAAGTCAGTGGGAGCCAGAGTCAGAAGGAGCCGGAAGCGCCTGCATGCGAACTTCTTATTTGGAATGTCCATTTATATATACAGTCTGTGGTATGGAGGCTTTTAACTTGTGCTTTGCTTTGTTTTATAGCCTATCCCAAAATCAACTAACTAAATAAAAAAACTCTATATGATTCAGAAAGACACAGTGCTGATCTGTTATTACAAACACTTCAGGCCAACCTCTTGAGTGTTCAGGACACTCAAGAGGAGGGCACCACTTCAGTCCATCACTCCTTTAAGTGTCTGAGGACAGAGGGGAGTACAAGGACAGGAACATCACCATTTATGGACACTCACAGTACAGTTATTTTTGTACGGAAAGATGTGTCCCCCAACTGGTTATAGCCAATCAAATTCCATCAAAACAGAATTGAAGTCGGAAGCAGGAGTTTAAAGATAATTAGTATTAATATTCTTATAAAAAAGAAAAAAAAAAAGAAATGTAAAGTCCACAAGAAGAACTGTAACCTTCTTATGGTTCAAGTTGACGAGAGACACTGACCTCTGGGGCGATATAGTCAGGAGTCCCGCAGAAGGTGGCTGTGGCTACTCCATCGAAGATACCCTCCTTACACATACCAAAGTCTGCTAGCTTACAGTGGCCATCTTTGTCCAGCAGAACATTGTCTAGTTTCAGATCTCTGAAAATAAAAATATATTAAGCTATAACCCTTGTGAATGGATAATACAGACCAGGCAAGCCTGTGGTATTGAGCTGTTCTTAGCAGAAAGTGCTGACAGCAAGTGGTCCTACGCAGTTGTTATTACAGCTTCAATACATTTTAAATTTTGTAATACTGCTGGTTTGAATATCAGGTACCCCAAGATTTAAAAGTAACTTTATATATCTTTTTGGAGGTGGCACATCACCTGCATGATTCCATGGAAACAATTAGGAAGAGGCACATCTCCAGGGCAAAGCTGCAGTTTTATTTCATGTATTCATTTTGAGTTTTAGCCACTAAGACCTTCAGTTTCCTCTGCAGTGTGGGGTCTTTGAACTGCCCTGGTGTGCCCTCTCATCCTGATTATTTTGGAGAGGGCAAACATGAGTGTTATGTTCTGCGAGCCACACATTAGGATCTAAATATAGGTCGCATTTACAGACCGCATGATGCCTCCTTAACAGCACCCTCATTACATTTTCCATTGACAACATCCAACACTGGGGCAACACAAAGGAAGTGCTTTTTGGCAACAGTTTCAAAAAATACTGCACTGTATTCTAGTACTTTACAGGATTACAGTGATATATGATAGCAGATGTTATTCATTTATTCATTTATGGAGTTTGGCTCAGTTACAGTTACAGAGTTACACAGTAGGGATCATGAATAAAGTGATCACCTGTAGATGATTCCCTTGCTGTGAAGGAACATGAGAGCAGAGGTGATCTCAGCAGCATAGAAACGTGCTCTGGGCTCCTCAAACTTCCTGGACTTCTGGATGTGAAACATGAGGTCTCCCCCATTCACAAACTCCATTACAAAGAAAAGTCGGTCCTGATGAGAACAGAGGAGATGGCATCAGCAATGTAACACATAAGAATAAGTTCACATAAAGCTGTTTCACTCTCTGTTTCTGCAATGGACAATGCTTTGAAAAGTGTATATACAGACATTTCTTATGATGTTTAGAGAAAGAGAGAAGAATCAACAAAGGAGGAACATCCCTCCTCAGTCTTACATTGTACTAACCAGTGTTACTGAATTAAACTTTAAATATACTGTTTTAAAAGGATGAGTCCTCTTGTGTAACAAGAATCAGAGCTCACTTAAGAGCAGTGAATGAGTTAATAATCCCTGTGGCCTCCTATAACCTGGATGGAGCTGCTGAGTATATTTTGATCCTGTGAAGTAGGTCAAAGACAGGTACAAACTTGGTTAGGATAAGAAAAAAACTCTAATTAAAGGACTGCTGCCATCTGGTGTTTTACGTGAGTAACAGCATTAATCAAAAGTTCACATTTTTATTAAAAAAATCTTCAAGTAGAACACAGTCTTAAGCACCTGCTCATTTTAATTGAGAATCTCATTATTTTCCTGACTGAGGTCCAGAAATAGTTTATGTATGACCTGAGTTTGTCCTTTTTGTTGGTTAAATTAAATTCAAGTTTAGTTGTCTTAGACTTAGACTTGGCCCCAACCCTAGTCCCTTAAGATCTGTAATTCCCAGCTTGATCTTATCAGTATTGAGATGTCATAGTAATTCAAATACAGTTATACAGTTATGTAGTGACAGGTCTGCGCTATGTAGCCTTGTAAAAAAAGAGGTCTTATTCTACTCCTCTTCTGTCTAACCACAATTTATTCCATTATATTTGTGGGCTAACAGCACAGAATGTTAACACTAGTAGTGGTACAATAAGCTAAAAATATCACAGCTGACAAATGATTTTTTCAGGTAATTAAACTTGTAAAAATGTTCTTCATCATATTCATAATACGATTAAAAAGGTAAAAATGTTCTTCATGATATTTAATAATAATGATGAATATTAGAATATATAAAGTTGAGTGTGTCTGGACTTACACGTGTCTGGAAGCAGCAGTGGAGCTGGGTGAGGTAAGGGTGGCAACGGGCGAGCGACAGCACTCGTTTCTCAGTCATGGTGCACTCCACGTCGTCGTCCTGCAGAATGATGTCCTTCTTCAGCACCTTCACTGCAAACACACGCTCAGTGTCATTGAGCCGCGCCAACATCACCTGCAACAAGCAAAATTTCACAATGCTAAATAGACAGTCCACCTGTTCTGCTGAGGTCATTCCAACTGGCTCACTTAAATTAAATGGACCTTGCAGAAATCTGGTCTTCTTTCATCAGTTTGCCGGCTATCCATTCAGTTTATTTAACTATATTCTTATTTATTTACACCAATTAAATAGATTAAATAGATAAACTGATGGTAAAATATGTGACTTGAACAAGGTTCAACCTTTCAGGTCTTTGGGGAGTTTCAAACTAGGTCTCAGGAAATGTGTAGTCTGCAGGTTTATTTTTGTTTTCTTTTTCTTTTTTCCATTAGAGAGAGATTAGGCCCACGCAGCTGTGGTTTACACGTAAAACTACACAGAAGTGTGTGAGACTGTGAGTGGAAACAAGCGTTCCACTCACGGTCAAGGACACGTGCTCAGTGTTACATCTAATGAGTAAAAAAACAATTGTGCTTATTTATAACCAGTTGGTAGAACATCTGCTGCATAATCAGAGTACCTACAGTTTTGCTGAATTTAAATCTAATCTTAATATTTGTGGCTGCACTGAAGGTATTTTAGAAGAGAGCAGATCACCCATTTTGTTAAACAGTATGAAGAATGATCCATGTTACATATGTTGACTATGAAAATAATGCCTGAATGGTCACCAGAGTTTGTGCTCACTTTGCCAAAGCTGCCTTTCCCCAGCACCTGGATGAAGGTGAAGTTTTCGAGGCCCAGCTTGACTGTCTGTGGCTGTATTTCCACACTCTCTCTGCGCTCTGGCGCCCTCACCTGGGTGCCCTTAACCTGTAAGCACAACAGCACATTCAGAACACATCCATAGACTGTGAAGATATTTTAATAATATAGCAATGCAATACTGTTGAGGCGCGCTTGGAGAGGCCTCCTGGATGTAGACCCATCTCTGACAGCTTATTGGCCAGCTCCACACTGTTGACGCCACAACTCGGGGCCACATTGCCTTTGCAGCGGATGTGAACATTCATTTTGCAACCTGAAAAGAAAAAAAACAATCTTATATGAGCAGATAGGGACATGTGGCTGTATAAAAGAGTTGTATAAAAGAGTAATAGGAAAAACAACTGACTTTTGCAGTGCAGGCCTTGCCGGACAAGTCCCCACAGCAGAGAGCCACAGTGGTCACAGAAAGTGGGAGATTTGTAGTTGTGGATGTTGAACTTGTGAGGAACATTGATACTGAAACCCTGGTTTATCGGCTTAAAACACAGATGTACAGCACAGAGTTAGACATTTTAATAGGTACTAGCAAATGATGCAGCACTGCAAAGCTTTGATTTTTGGAGGCTAAAATCTGATAAATACATGCTTTCTGACAGTGGCTTTGTTTACATGGCCACCAAAATTGTATTATTATCTGATTTCTTTACCTTTAAGATGATTTAAATGACCTGCAAAAAGCGAAGTCTGATATGAGTAATCTGAGGGACCATGATCAGACAGAAACCAGATGTTTTTGCAGTTTCCATGTCATTTAAATAAACTTAGAACTCCAAAAATCTGATAATAAATAGATTTTGAGTGTGCATGTGTCATTACAAAAAAGTATGAATAAGCAACACTGGCATTACAGCACACACAAATGACATGCATGAGCTTATTTTGATTTCAGGAACCAAAACTGTTCATGTTCAGCAGATTAGTGAACTATGGAAAAATAAACTATGTTCCACACTTCAGCATTACAGTTGAAATAGCAACATAGAGAAATGTCACAATAGAAAAGTTCAAAATAATGAAGCTGTGAAAAGGTTTACGGGTCTTTAGGATTACATGTATGTATGTATGTATGTATGTATGTATGTATGTATGTATGTATGTATGTATGTGTGTAAATTAAACCTCGGTCCCATATGAACATTCACTGACAAACATACATTAAAATATTCATTCAGTTATATTGCCTACATCATAGAGGCTTTTTAACATGCAAAAAGATCAGATTAATTCCAGTGAACGTCAATGAACCTAGAACATGCATGCATTTAAACATGCAAAAATATAAGTTAATTTATAACTAATTACTAGAGCCCGACCGATATATCGGCTGGCCGATATTATCGGCCAATATGGGCACCTGGAGACATATCGGCTATCGGCCGATATGCTTGCTGACATGGGCCGATATTTCACGTGGGCATGTTATACCTCGTTATAAAGCTTAGACTCTCATTTAATCCAATTTACAGACAGATAAATGTCCTAATATGTGGCTCCGCATCAGTATTTATCTGCGGAGTCATTTGTCTGTGTCCGTACTGTACCTGAACACACCACCTGAGTGACATCACTTCACTTGCGTGTGTTTGTTTACACCCGCAGCCGTGCGCAACACTGAGATTATTTTCTTTTTCGGACAATCGGTTTGAGTCTGGATTAAAAGGACATTTGTTAGTGCAGACTTGTGATGTGAGGAGGAGCCTGTGTGAGCGGTGAGTGTTGGAAATACATCGACTTTGAAGCTAGTTTAGGTTTTGTTAGCGGTTAGCTGCTGTAGCTCCCACACATAAACAGGCTGTTTTCTATTGGTCTATTGTAAAGTGACTACATTGGCCGTATATTTGTTACTGGACCTGCATTGATATGTAAATGAGCTGTGAATAGACGTGTGAATGATCCACATTTATGCATATAATTAACTACCGCGGTGCGCAGCATTTACGGCTAAAGGCTAATAGCGATAGTTTACTCGCTAGGAGTTATGGGTCGGTCGCGATCGAAGCGGCTCTTAGAGCGAACAACGGGAGCCTGCTTCTTATTGGGAGCCGTGTTTTCTCTTTTTCTCACTTTTTCTCTTCATGCCGCATGTAGACCCGTAGTTTGACAGCAGCAGCGGCTGAAAACGAAACTTTCAGAAATCTGCGTGTGCATCGGATAAAAAAAAGTGCATATTTGGCTGCAGTTCAGCATAAAATGAATAAACCAGGACTAATCTTGGGCTCGAGTGCAGGAGAGAGATAGAAACCGAGCCCCGACACTCAGTCCTGGTTCAGTTTTGGTTTAGTCCTGGTTGCAACAAAACAATCTCAAGAGTCGCTTGGGAGCCGAAAGAGCCAGCTGCTTTAGTGAGCCGAGCCAAAAGAGCCGGTTCTCCAAAAAAACAAAACAAAAACTGAAATACCCATCACTAGCAGCTAGAATGTGATGCAAAAATGCCATTAGGCCAATCTACTGTATGTAAATATGGTGCAAAGAGTCAAAATAACAATAAATGTTGCCTAAATAAACCCAATTTAGAATCCACTAGAGCCAAACCTAAGTTTTTTTATCAATTCAAGATTTACAGTGAATTTTTACATCACTAAATATATCGGTGATTATATCGGCTATCGGCAGCTCCAACTCCCATTATATCGGTTTCATATCGGCCACAACAAAATCCATATCGGTCAGGCTCTACTAATTACCATCTGTTGTATCAGATTTCCATTCACAAACACACCAACATTTATAGTCCAGTACACAACAATAATGGTGCAAGTAGGGGCCTTGTCTAGCCCAAGAACACTAAGGCAGTACAGGTCCTGTGTCTGAGCAGAGATTGGCAATCTTTGACTTTGTGGGCAACCACTGAGCCAGAGCAGAACAAAAGGTAAAGTGAAATAGTAAAGTTTTGTCAGGACTCAGAGAACAAGCTGCGCTTACCTGTTCATTTTGAGTTTTCTTCATGCGAGGACATGCTGTCACCACCAGCTGGTGGCAGCGCTTATGAACAACACAAGTGCATACTGTAAACAAAACAAAAGCATGTCACTGAAATGTTGGTTCAAATTTGTTAGAGAGATGGTCTTAAATCTGCAGCATAGGCTGACATGTTGGTTCAGTGAACCACTTTTCCTTTATTTGAACACTTCTATTGTTCTAATTTGTGACAATTTCAAACTTTATAGTTTGGGAAAATATTCAAATTTTCTTTGGAATCAGTGCAAAAATATTGGCTCTTATTTGTGGTAGTTTCTTAATAATCCATGTCGGTCTCTAATAAAACAAATCAGAAAAAACTCTGAGCTCACCTTGGCACTGATAACCCTGTTTCCCAAACACCCCCCTGAAAAAGACAAAGGACAAACTCCCATAAACACACTACTATCTCCATATATTCCAGACACAATGGCTCAAGATAATAAGTTGTAACTGTGGATATTTGAAAATGCAAGTAACAGAAGCAGTGGTACAACATGTATCAGCACTAAAACACTTGTTATAGAGGTTATAGAAGATAATATTTTCATCAAAATTTGAATTATAAATGCAGTTGAACTGCATTTTAAAAATTAATGTTTTTTCAGAGTAAATTAACAAATTATTTTCCTTTTTTTTACTTTAAAATTAAAGTTAGTCCATTACTAAAGTCAACACACATTGACAATTGCACTGACGTTCTTAGGCTGAAGTGTTTTACTAGAAAAAACTTAATCACACAGTGTAATAGAACAAAAGAGAAACAAAAAGCTAAACTAAGGGGAGGTTCTGACCAGATGAATTCACGGCAGTGGAAGCAGAAGGTGGGTTGTCGGAGGAACGTGGACATAAACTTGTGACCATTGACCTGGTGGATCCTCCGCCGCACTGCCCCCTGTCGTGTACGGGTCAGCTCTTTGTGGCGCTTCTGAGGAGGGTGCACCATGGCATCATCTGCACACAGCCATTTCAACACACATACACATCAGGACATGCAACAGCAAGGCCTCAAAAATGCAACAACACATAATGGTAGATTGACAGCACTATTGTTGGTGGCATGAAGTGTGATACTGTGGTGAGATAACATTTGAAAGTATATGGCCCTAGTGCACATATGCTGCTGACAGCTTAGCAGAACTGCAGTTTCATTTACTGTCATTTGTCCACTTCCACTTTACCACACATCTGATGTTACTGCTGATCTCGCTACATCCATTTTTAAACAGCCAAACATAGAGTTGCTTTATTGTAGTTGCGTTGACATTGCCACTTTGGTAAACTGTAATATAAAAAATAACTAAACAGTAAACAATTTGATCTGTTCTTAAGCTGCTCAAAGCTTTATGTGAAAACCCTGTGGTCAAAACTTTTTCTGAAATCCATAATTTAGGCAATTTTGCTATAGTGGTGCAGATTGTACTGTTTTTTAATTATTGTTCAGATATTTAAACATGGATCCTCCTACTATGACTATCATCTGTACATGCTGTAATTCACTGTTAACACACCCTTCTCTGTGAGGTGACAGTCAGTCATCTCTTCACAGCAGCACTCACCATCAGTGAAGGATCCAGTCAGAGTGATCACAATGTACACTTTTCCCTCTGGCTCCAAGTCCATCTACATACACATACACAAATAAACCCACACGTTACATTTACATCAGACATCAGGATTATGTTCTAAAAGTGTACAAACGAATGTGCCCATACTCATGCTCATATATCCCAGTCTATAATTCTTATCAAAAGTCACAATGACATACTTTTAAGTGGGTCATGCATTATTTGACCCTCTACAGTTCATATAATGCCAGAAAGAAAAGTTCAGTAGTTAGAGTGCTTGTCATTTTGTATAAATGTTATGTGTGAAAGAGGGCCGCTTCCTTAAAGTCACCACCCCACAACAGCTAAGGATGAGATAGCACATTCAAAATTGTAAAACAGTGTCTTGAAAAGATCCATAAAAGACTAATACATTATTTTAAAACGTTTTTACTATTTAGTTTTATTTAGTGTATACTGTATGAATGCATCACTACAGGATCATCTGCATATATGACAACTAGCTTCTGAAATATGTGGCCACATATTTGTGTGAGGCTAAAGGAATCTGGAGCGGGTCAGGCCAGTTCTGCTGGTCCACTGACAGAAATGCCTCAAAACATATATTTGTTTTGTTTACGGGGGAGAACCAGATAGACAGACAGAGGTGTAATGTATGTCTGTATATGAAGTGGAAATTCAGGACAGAGGGAGATGTACAGACCCTTTACTCAAACCTATTATGAATGTAATGTAATGTAATGAATTACTTGATTAGAACTAAAATTATAACTAAATGATAAAGCAGCACCATGCTTTTCACAATAGCAAATATAAACATTTTTCTTAATAACAAAGTGTGAATCAAATACTAATAAAAAAGTATTAAAGTAAATTTGTATCTACTAACATCAGGTTATTTTAGTGAAATACAAAACTGCTACTTTTGTGATCCTTTGATTAAGAAAAAAAATTCTTCCATGTTGACGCACAGCTATGGTGTAATTACTGGTTCACAAAGTTATTTTTGCACTACTTGACTAATGGGTTGGGTTCACAACACTCAAGAATAGTATGTTATAGTTTCAGATGTAGAGCAGAGGCCTATGTTATTTCTGTATTGAGGATGTCTTTTCAATGAACCATGAATTCTAATATGATTTTTAAAGAGCTGTGCACTACACATAAGCATTACACTTGTACACTGTAAAAGTTTTTTGCACTGTAAGTGGGGGTGTGAATTTGAACCAGAGACAGAGTGACTTCCTGTTATGAGGTCACAGAAGCCCTCCATGCTTCAGGTCTCACATGTTTCCGAGACTTCACCCAAGACTGCGCTCAAAAGCAGAACTGGACGTCGCCATGGCAACAGCAGTTGGTTTCTGTCTAAAATGGAGACCATCAGCTGAGAACTGTTCCAAAAGATGCTTTTCACCCACTTTCACTTTGAATCCTCTTCAGGCCTTAAAGATTAAAGTGCAATATTGTGTTTTAAAAGTTCAAAGTTAAAAACTTAGAAGTGTTTCTGAGTGAAATGGTGATGATGGGGTTCTTTGAGGTCAAAAGTCTCTCAGCCCATAATACAATGTGAATAAGATTAATGTACTGTTGCACTACAGTGAAGTTCTGGAGCCTGGCCAACAGAGAGTGAGTGAAGCCTGCAGCAGTGAGAGTCAGTGGGAGCGCACCGAGACGTGGGCGAGTGCAGACCTGCAAAACAGCAACCAGCATGTCCCCAACAGCCCCGCAACCTCAGAGACCACAGTCCCAGAGCCCACGCTCTCACAGCCCCATGAGAGATTTGAGCTATGGAAGGCTACGTATATATTAATATTTGTTTGTTTTATTACGGTGATATAGAGACCTCATGTCAATCAATTAGAGATATGTGAGAGTGTGCCTAAATGGTTGTGAGATTCAAATGTTTGTGAATTAATTTCACAAACACACTTTTGATCAGTGTCATTTTACACACAAACAAAGTCCAATTATCTCATCGTCCAAAGTCTGAACTCAAAACCAGATGCTTTAAATGGCAGGATTGGCTGTAGACCTCTATCAAAAAGACCACGGCTGATCAATGAAATAATTCAATCTTGAGTCAATTAAAATTTGACAAATTGCAACGTCTGATCAGACATTAGCCCCTGTACCACACCCTCAGATCTCCAGTGTGAGCAGAGGAGGGCAGATAAAGAGACAGATAAAACCATGAGTATCTGTGGTACTTGAACACTCTTCTCAGATGTGGGCGGCTGTGAAACACAAATCAACTGCTAAATTTGCAAATGACAATAGTTTCCATCAGCAAATTAATTTCAGACACAAATCTTCCTCGGATTAATTTTGGCCTTCTTTGTTATGAGACAATAGTGGGAAACTAGCATTTTGCTCAAATCTAGGGGTGGAAAATACTGACAGAAGTTAGTATCCTGTCATTTTAATGTCTTTTTTTTTAGGCTATCACAATGGCAATATTATGACAATATCTGATAAATTTGCAATGCACAAAAAATGAACCTTTTTAAAATGGTTTTAACTGTTTTATACATCACAATTGCATTATTATTAATTGTTTGGTAATCTGTGATATGCTCATTTAATGTGCATACTCCAACTAACACATTGAGCGACTTAACATTAAATATAGTTAACATGTAAATTAATTGTCCAAATGAGTAAATTTGATCCGCAATCAGCAAAAACAATTGGGATTTTGTTATTCTTAGATCTCATTAAACATTTACTTCATAAAAAGGGGATTTTGAACTGCTATATTTGGGTCAGTGGCATAACGTTGGTATTTTTGTGTCCAGAAGCCACAACTTTTGTAGTTATTAAGAGGTTTAAATTGTTTAAATTGCTTTGTTTTACATCACTTTTGTTGTACCAAGATGCATTTAGATGAAGAAACCAAATTTGAAAAAATATTATAGGTTTAAAGTCAAAATGTCATTCAGTGACATTTGTTTGCAAAAATTATAAAAATGTTCACAATTATAAACTTTTCTCTGTGGCATAATTTTAAAAGCTTTGACATAATAAAACTATTTTCAAAATGAACATAAAAGAACTGCTTTTAATGTCTTAAATAACATTGTTGCCAATAATCTGAGGTGTTTCCTCATGGATCATGTGATGACATCACTCTGAGGACCCTGCAGAACCCTGAAGTGGAAACAAGAATTAGATTTGTCCTCTTAGTTTTTGCTGGTGATGTCTTTGTCATGAGAAGGACAAATGGCACAACTTTTTGGATGTCATACGGTGCAATGTTCAAAATGTGCTTAAAACTGTAATTTAAAAAATATTACATTTGAAATCAGTGCTTGGTGTGAGCAGTCAACACTGATGCTTTTGTTTCTCGTTGACAGATAAAGCATAAACCAGTTCAGAATGAAAATGTCTGACAAATATCATTCGGTGAAACGTAATTTGTCATTTGGTGAAACAAAACTGTGACTGCTGTAGGTAACATTAAGCATCTAACTAAAAAAATCTGCATTTCTTTTACAATTTTATTTGTATAATTTACTATACAAATAAAACTATATATGCTACTATATTAAAACAATAATTTTTATTTTAAATATAAAATAATCACATAAATAAAGAAAATTAGGTTTGGTAGATTAATTAGTAATTATTCACATGCAATTGGACAATAACTAAATTTAGGGTAGTTAGATAGAAGTTGTTCGCTGATTTGGTTCGTTTCAAAAGAAAAGCCACTTTTTTGTATTTCAGTTGAACTGTCATTCGGTAAAACAGCAGATATCATGTGGTGAAACGCTAATATTACAGTGAAATGTATCAGAAAAAGTTTGTCTTAACATAAAAAAAAAAAGATTTTTACATAAAAACTTTAATTTAAACATGGAAAGTGTTAACATGCTTAATGTGTGTTTTACTCTTTATGAAAAAAAAAAATTGACTAGAGTTAAGAGTAAGTTTTAAGACTAAGTTTTCTGCAAAACGTCAATGACATTTCATGTTAAAAAAAAAAAAAATTAAAAAAAGGAGAGAAGAATTTTTTTTTAATACCACAACACAATAGGAGCTCCATGTTTTGCATTTGTGTACATCTCTAAATGTTTGTAATATCCCATATTAAAAAAAAAAAAAAAAAGATAGCTATAAAAATACACAAACATTAATTTATTACCAGAATAATAGTTGGTTGCCTCCCTAACAAGAACCTGGATGCAGTACAACTACCGCCTTCCTGAACTATTAGGCTGACTGACTTAAAGACATAAAGAGCTGCAATTATCCCAGTACAAATTGGTACTGTGATTTGTTTGCCCTTATCAGCTCAGTTCTATTGTGTGAACCTCAGTGATAAGATGCTTCCTCAGGCCCTCAGGCTCAGATTACACTCCACCTGCAGAGGCACACTGGCCTACAGGGCTATAAAGACCAGGGGAGGTCATTACAGTGACTGTAGGGGTATGGAGTGATATGTTTCACACACTCTTTTATCAGTCCATGATGGTGCAGCAGAAGTGCAGTTACTTGAAACATTCACCCTCTAACCTGAAATTTAGTGGTTCACTGATTCAGTCACTGCCGATACAGTTGTGTAATTGAGCAAGACACTTCACCAGCCCAGCCACAATGTGTCACATGCATTAGTGTAGGTAGGAGATTACAATAAATGTTGCATATCTCTCTTCATCATTTGTCTGCCCACACCCTTCTGTCTGACATATAGGGATAAACAATCTTGTTACAGAATTACCATTTCACAAGCATTTGCTGTTCATTAGGCTATAAAAATAATGCATATGCAGACAACATTACATTCAAATTATATATATATATATTTTGTGAATTTCTAAACTAAGACTTTTCTACAGAAGTCTCAAGCTATTAAACCAAGACTTATTGACTCCAACTCTACCCACCAAAATGTGGCTTTTGTTGCTTTCTTACATAGTAATTGTAGACTGCTGCACACATGTCACTCACCCATCCCTCAAAGCTCTCCCCCGTGTTGGCCTTCTGGATCAGGTCTTCAAACTGGATGGTGCAGTTGGCCACAAAGTTGTCGTATCCGATGGGAGTCTCGTGGAAAACAGTGAGCTCTATGTGCACTCCGTCGTTCACGTTCAGGCAGAACTCCTCGTTGTACGTGGGCATGTTTGTCTTCTGTTTTGTGTGAGTCTGTCCGATCTTAAACTCGTCCACCTTGACGACGATGTAGGGGTCCAGAGTCGGGGGGGCTTTATTGAAGATGACAGAGTGGCGCAAAGAGTAGGTGGTAGGCTTCAGCTCCACAGCCTCACCAATGCGCAACTTCAAGTAACCATTAAACTTCATCTTGTCATAAAAGTCCTAATTCCGTGACGAGAGCAGAAAGCACGGACGGGAATCCCTCTCGACCTCACCTCATGTCAGAACACTTCATAACACAAAGCACATTTTAAAGTCCTTTCTTCTCTGTAAAGTTTTGTCCATGTTGAGGTAAAGTTTTCGTCCCGTTCCTCTGCGTATCGGCGAAACAAGTGCGTGCCGCTGCGCTGTGAACCTGTTCGGGAGCCTTCTACAGTAAATAGGAAGCACAACACTGACACGCTGCTGCACAGGTTCCGCGTTAACAGCGCGCACACAGTTCAACCCAACGCGATCTGCAGACGCCTTTACGTCACCACAAACTACAAAGACCAAGGTGCACTGCGCTCTAAACTCAGCCTACCTGTTCTGCATGGAAAAGTTTCGACTTGCAGCTGCTCAGTTATGTGTTGACAGTCAGCGTTTGATTTGGCTTTAACCTCAGTGCCAATGGAGTGTGAGTTTCAAGTCAAATAACTTATGACAGCCTATTATATACAGGCCAATATTGTTAGTAATAAAACATTATACCAGGTACAATTTGTGATACATTGTAGGCTACAGAACAGGCTGTTAATTGGCTTAAGGCCCAATGGCAGAGGTGGGACCAAGTCGTTGTTTTGCAAGTCTCAAGTAAGTCTCAAGTCTTTGACCTCAAGTCCGAGTTAAGTCCCAAATCGAGTCTTGAGTCACTGACCCATAAGTCCAAGTCAAGTCCAAGTTGTCTGCTTTGAGCTTCAAGTCATTTTAAGTCTTTAAACCAAAGCACCAAATGGATTTATTTTGTGCAATTTAACTGACTTAACATAAATTGTACTTTAAAAATGTAAGTATATTTATATAGGAGTATTTATAGAGTATATAAGAGTTGTTGAAATGTTATTTTTTCCTTTTTAAATGTCTTGACAAGATCTTAGTGTGAATCATTACGGTCAGAATATAAGAAATTCAGATTTGTAAGTGCTTCTCAAGTCTTCTCAAGTCACAGGCCTCAAGTCCGAGTCAAGTCCCAAGTCAGTGACCTTCAAGTCCAAGTCGAGTCCCAAGTCTTAGTCCATTTTATCAAGTCAAGTCTCAAGTCCTAAAAATAGTGACTCAAGTCTGACTTGAGTCCTGCAAGTCCCACCTCTGCCTAGTAGTAATAGTGGCCAAGTAGAAGGATCAGTAGCAGCAGCAGCAGCAGCAGAACAACTACTCTACTAGGAAAAAGTAGGTCTATAGGACAGGATTGTTCTGTCCTCGGTGTCATCTCTTTTTACTCTGTATTGTTAACACCAGTCCAAAACCACTGAAACGCTCATTTGACCCCAGACCTTGCGCGCATTCCGCTTGGCCCTCTATCTCTGAAGGAGCTCTCCTGCTTCACCCCAAAACGTAGCCATCAGTCTGCAGTAAGTCGTTAATGGTGTGAGCTGTGACCTCTGCTCTGACCCCACGGTGCGCCGAAGCTCTCAGCCCCAGCTGTGAGGAATAAAGTGCTCGGAACAGGCCCATAGGAGAGGGGGAGCATCTCGTAAACGCTGGAGTATATGACCTTCGCGGGCGCACGGGGTCGAGATAGTGACGCAGCCAGCACTCAAGACACAGCCTAGGCCTACTATTAACGCCCCGCGCGCAAATGTTTCCTGGCCTGTTCAAATTCTGCACAAATCTGAATAGAAAAGTCACTGCTCTGTCCTTGTAGTCCAAGAAAAGAAGTAGGCCTAGACCTTTCTGTACGGGTTTAATTGTTGTAAGAGTTGGTTAAAATGTTCTTCTGCTAAATAGAAAGCGTGCATTCGTTTGACCACCAGATGGCACTGTAAGCCCACAGTCCGCTCCTCTCTTCTGTCCTGAAGCAGACCTAAACTATCCCTGGATTAAAGGTGCACTATGCAACTATTATTTGTGGTGGTCCGCCTCTTGTTTCAATGTTATTTCCATTCCTTTCGCAGGCTTGCCTATCCACATATCTGACCAGTAACTTGACCCGTGTCGTCACCTGCTTGTCTCCATGGAAAAGATAAGTTTAATACCAAACTGTGGCAGGTGCTGGACCCTTCATCGGTAAGATTAAGTCTTGATTTAGTCCTGGTTTGGATCTGGGGTTGTCCTGGATAACCATTCCTATTAAACCTTGTATGTTAGGCCTACAGCTTTAATACTGGTGTATATTTATTTTATATTTAGCTTATTTTTCTATATTTGTATCTCTTATTTTGGTGGTTTCAGTGTTTGTTTGTTTTTCATTGATATATATCTCAACTATACCTATAGACCTATATCCTACTAGACATTCCTTCTTCTACATGCCTCTTTAACACAGATGGGGGTAGATTTGCCTGCTACTGTCACGCTGCCTTTGTGCTGGTGGAAACACACTCAGAGTGATGTATCATTTCAACATGACCAAGGTTACAACATGGTTACAGAGCTTCCTCCCTCTCCCCTCTCTAACCATCAGGCTGGAGTGGTTCTGCTCTCTGGCTTTAATTCCAGCCACCTGGGGAGTTTCCACCTACACTCAGGGTCTGGGCTCACTTTATGTGTATGTCGCTCTGAACAGCTCAATCCTCTGGCTCTCAGCCTACGTACGCCCTATATCTGCAGCTAATGAAGCAGAGCAGTGGTACCTAACAGCCAGCGGGGCACCAAACTGGATGGTGACCCGGTGAAAAAGAGGCTGGCCCTGTAAGTTATGGAACAACCCTTCACATGATTCATAATTCACAATGGTTTCTGTTTACAACCAATGTGAGAGCAAAGAAATATGTCCACCAAGTCACTGACAAACACACTTTTTTTTTTTTTTTTTTGTTACCGTAAAAGTAAGTTATTTGTCTAGTGCACAGGGTTCAAGTGCTCAAATACAAGTGGAACCAAATCTGTTGGCTCAAATGAATGTCAGATCCATATCAAAACACATCAGAGCTCTTCTAAACAGCCTAAGTAATCCTGAAAACATTAGATTACAAATGGTGAGATAAACAAGATGATCATGTCCAGTCACAGCACATTTCTAAACAACACAATATCTTTGGTTAGTAAAAAGTTTGATTTGGTAAAATACACAAAATTGCTCATATGTTGATGTGAATAGAGTGTCCTGAGATTGGAGGAATGTGAGAGTGGACAGTGGAGCAGACTTGAGGTGGGGGCGGTGTCACAGCCCCGTTCCATTTAATCAGCTCCAGATGTGCTCCAGCGTGGCCCCTGCGCCAGGGAGGCGTCAGGCCTGCATTAAGAGCTCAGCCCTAGGCCCAGCCTAGAGAGTCCAGAACACCGCCACTCCAAGGAACAATGACAGAACCTGTAGGTGGACATTTACTATGATATTTTGTATCATTTATACCTACTAAATATAATATCTCATGTTGTTTTTGTCTGATTAGATCAATAGTTATTCAAACATCATACAAATAATAACTCCTGCCCTTCAGCAGCTGTGACTATAAACACCAGTCACACTCACTACATCATTAACCAGTGAATAGTGAGCAGGTACCATAGAAATACATGCACAGTCAATAGGATGTAAATTCTTTGTGCTGTATCCACTGTGCTGCAGGTCTGAAAGGAGATACGCACTTGCCCTTGATCTATTGAATCTGATTTGGTTAAGAATAGAGAAATGCAACAATGTCAGGCATAATGCTTCATACAACTAATGCCCTTACTGTGACACAAGGGCTAATTACTTTGTTTTACTCAATGAAATACTCTATTTCCAATAAATGAGAAAAACAAAAGCTAAAAGAGTAAACACAATCTTAAAAACTAAAGTATAATGCAATTTCCATATATTCCTCAGGTACAAGTATAACACATACCACTTTCAAATGAATATAGCAATTTGCCTAAAATGTTACATCTGTAAATGATTCATTCAGAGGGAGTGATGCGTGGGCCACCATGACAAACAGGGGAAGCCCTCATAATGCCAACAGCGTTTAGGACTCACAGGAACAGACTCTCAGAGGAATGTCTGTTAGACAAGACTGTGGTAAACACCAAACAGATGGTGAGCTGCTCCAACCTGACCTAATGTGAGTGACTTGTGTCAAAATAGTACAGCAACTGGGCGAGATGGCTTAATGACAAATATAAAACTTAGTCAGACACTAGGGGGTAACCTTGTGCTGTGCCTGGACAGAGCTCTGTAAATTGTTATTGGGATACTTTCTCTCAGAAACAATACTACAGAAAACAGACTTTGGGACTGAGCTACCCCTCTGCACACAGGCTCGGGGCAGTGGTGGGGTCACTGGTGGGGGTCACTGGGGTGTGTCGGGGGGAAGGATTTGAGGATCACCAAAGGCAGCACTGCAGGGGCATGGACTAATTTCTTTAAACCAGGAGTGTGTTGGGTTCTGAAAGACATTACAAATAATAGATATTTGAACGAGACCTCAGGAATGGGGGTATAAATCAGTTCAACATCAGTGCAGTAAAGAGGTGAGCACATCCATAGATTTGGTCCTTTTATTAAAAATTACATTGTGTGTAAAAAGTGAATAGCACCTTGGAAGACAGCAGCAAAAACATACTAGAAACAAAACAAAGGTAATAAAATATGATAAATTTGAATAAAAAAATATAGAGATAATGCATTGATTATTACATAACACATACATACATTAAAAAGATACAAAACATACAAAATGAGACAGTAAGGATAATATTATATAATGTTCCCTTATATATAAAATCATTAATGATCAAATATAAAATCATCATATTAATAGACCAAATAAAAGATAAAACAGATAAAATCAATAAAGCTACTATGTCCTAATTTGAGTGGTACCTGAGACAAAGTATCACTGATCCACACTTTACTGTGGCTGCTTTTGCAGTTTACAGAATTCAAAACATCTGTATTCTGACAGTTTGGGCTGAAGTGTAAAATGGAGGTATTTTCACGATGCTTCAACATAATGCTAGATTGCCTCTTCATTTGTAGCAGCAGTAAGTGAGTGTTGTGCGTCCCTGGTGGGGTCTTCCCTTCACCTCACTCTGTTGTTTTTATTTGTGGCAGACCTCAGGAGCTCTGGACCCACGTCCAGATGATCAGTGTCAAACTCAAGGCTCCCACCATCACACCGAACAACACCAGAAGCACCGCCTGAAACAAACAGCACACCGCTAAATACATACACAAATAAACAAACACTGCAGTTTATTATATTAATTAGTTGAACAATGTCCAAATTTCATTGTGCAATATTATCAGTTTTCACCTCACAATGCAACATTTATTACAATATTGTACAGAGGCAATGAACTATAATACATTTCCCTATAAGTATTCATTTGTATAATGGCTGCATTGAAACCTTTTTATGTAACTTTTCTTATATCTTACTAATAATCACAATTAATGCAGCCATCTATCATGTTTTTTTTTTTTTACTTAAATGTAAGATAAATCTGATACACTGTAAACAGTATGAGCCTGCGTTACATTTAGTCATTTCACTGTTAGAAAAAAAAAAAAGAATTAAAATACAGTACACAATTTCCACAAAAATGTTATTCATCATTGTGTTTAGAATAAAAATGCTTGATAATACTACTTTAGAAATTAAGTAATAAAAAGTAAGTATGTCCGTGTTCAGATGGTTGGTATATAAACTAATTGGGGTATATTTACATGGCCAGTAAAAATCAAATAACTAAAATAAACAGCCATTTTAACCTGGTCACAAATTAGTGAATTAATGGATTTTTAAAGTAACTACAGTATTTGGAAGATGATGTACAGGGATTAAAAAAAAAAAAAAACTCTTTCAATCTTTTACATTTTCTTTCATTTTTGTCTGTTCCACATTAGATTTGCTTAATCTTCCATATCAAAAGCTGCACAGGTGTGAACAATGCAAAATGTAAAGTTCTTTGTCACGCCTATCAGACAATAATCTGAAAAAATCCAGACATTATATAATAATCAGATGTGTTTTGGTACGTATATAAACATAACCACCAATGAGACAAGACAGTTTTGTATCAATCCTGCCAAAAGCTGAAACATATGAGTGGAGCTTGCCATCCAAATTTGGACAGAAGAACACATTATAATCACTCTACTCTTACCCCAATATAGTCCAAAGACCTGAAGCGCTGATTGCTGATCCTGAGGTAGAAAAGACCAGGGAAAACAAACAACAGGCAGCTGGAGGTGGTCGAGCCTAGACCAAACAGGAAATACTCATAACAACATGTGACATTAATTATACACAAGGATATACTGCCATCAGTGAACGGGGATCAATACAGGTCGAGCTCTGCCCTGGAAACTGCACCCACTGTATGAATTACACTGAAACAAGCACGTACCAACCACTCCAAAGACATTTCTGATGTCAGGAACAAAGATGGCCAAGGTCAAGACTACAGCCAGAATGCAGACAGTGGTCAGGGAGTGTATCCACCAGGAGAAAGGACGTGATCCGAACAAAAGAAGGATGACTGCTTTACGGGCCTAAAACATGCATATTTTATTAGGAAATGGGAATGTGAGAAGTAACTGTGTACAGTTCTATCTTTGCTTACAGGAAAGTGGATGAGCGGTACAGTCAGGAGGACGGAGAGCAGGATGGCAATTCTCACAGTCATCACCACAACGTCTCGGGGCAGATAGGTGTCATACCCCTGCAGCAACTCAGAGTCCACATGAGCTGGAGAGGCAGGGCAGAGTGCGTAAGGGCAAAAACCGCAAAGTAATTTTAGGCTTATTTCATTTTTTGACATAATGTTATATAATAATGGATGGACATGGGAAAATAAGTTCTGACTTTGACAATATCTGAAATAAACATATACAATACGCTCATACAAAAGGCAGGAGAATTAATAAACGCACAGTACTTGCTCTAAATGTTTCTTACTGTAGAAGGTGAGGTATCCAAACAAGGCTGACACAAGGTAGAGAATGAAGCTAAGGCCAATGCTGATGTTTGTAACCCTCTGCATCCTTGTCTTAGTTGGCCTGAAACACACATATGTGATTAGTGTACATATTTTTAAGGGAAAATAGGGATATAAAGAGCTGTGTTACGAACCGGTCCAGCTCACAGTAGATGGGCAGGACAGCGGTGTGACACAGAAAAGAGAAGGCCATTGTGGGGATGGCATATGCACTCTGTAAAACACAGCACAATTGTCAGATCAGTCACAGAAATCAGGGAACAGAACTACAGTGGTTGTTTAATAAGTCCCACATTACAGTAACAGCAATATGAGGTTCGAATGTGCTTAGAACATTCACATATGGTATCACTGTGTCATAAACATGTGGTACCCTGAGCTCTAGACTTTCTCCTGTTCTGTGGTTTTCTCACAAGAAAACCACAGCCCAGCAGACAGATTTTCCACAACTTGTCACTATCACAGGTTCCACATGTGGAGGGCTTGGTACATACCTTACTGGAGAGGACAAAGAGTTTGGCTGTGCACTCTGAGTCTGATGAATTTGATACCTGAAAGGACAATGAGACACTGGTTATAACAGGGAAGAGCTTCAGAGTGAGTTCATGGAAGTTATTTCATGCTCTTGTGAACTCCACAGGGTCAAATGCCATTTCCGGGTTTGACAGGGACAGATCAACTTTGATTTCTCAAAGCCTGTTTGACTCTAGTCCTTCTCTGACATAAGAAAAGTCACCATTGTCTAACCTGGAGCAAAGAGCTCTTGCTTGCTTAGAGTTACAGTTTGTTTAAGGAAACATTAAACAAACACTGATGGCATATATATCTCTCTATATATCTATATCTATATCTATATAGCTATATATCTCTGTATCTTTCTGATACTTAAAAGATTGTGGTTATCATTTCTTAAATGATAGGTTTGTTACCTGGAAGGATCCATAAGACACAGTGACGTTGCTAGGCAGAGGACAAGGGATAGTCCACTTCTTCATCACAACCTTTAGGACACACAGTCAGCCACAACAGAGCAGGTACAGAGGGGTATATGTTCTGACACACAACACTCACCACAACTGTAAAGTACAGCATGAAGAGAAAAGCCAAACCACTGGTGTAACCCAGAAACCCTGAAGTTTGGACAAACACCAGACTTTATTAAAACATATGATTATCAGGCATTCCAAGAACAAATCACTTACCAACTCTGGGCAATATTGCCAAAGGTAGAACAACACAGAGTGTTATCAATATTAGCAGCAGTCGTCCATCTTCATACCAATCAGTTCTAAAAAATAGGGTGTAATTGATAACAGATATATCTCCATGTATTTTTACAAAGTAAGTTGTCAGTCCTGTATGTTTGTGTGTATAGGTCGGATGGAGGTTGTGAAGTTTGGGACTTGAGCCTGTCAGTCTGGGGAAGTGTGGGGTCAGGGGACAGGCTCCACTCGTCTTTATGAGACGTCTAGCAGCACCTGCTCCAGTTGGACAGCTGTGCTGCTGCTCCTCTGCACACTTATGTTAGACCTATACAACGCAAGCATTTACTCAAGACTCAGAAGTGTAGCATCAGCAGAAAACAGCTCTTTTTGTGGTTTGTATACAACTGACTTAGACATCAATAGAGCAGGGTCTGTACACTTTGGAATGGCTCTCATTAACGCAAGTGTTTAGTCCTCTCAGTAAGGGGTGCAATTACAATGGCATAACTGATCTGCTCCAGTATCAG